AATATCGGCATATCGGATATCGGCCAAAATCCCAATATCGTGCATCCCTACTTTAAACATGAAATTTCAATCTTCCAAGTTAGTTTCAACTGATTTTTTGGAGATCTAAGCTAGCAAGCTAACAGCCCAGCTAATGGCTAACAGGGTTGAGCCAATTTGTTACTTCTGGTTCGCTCCATTTGTGGTCTGCGCTGAAATGTCCGAATCCTGAATCCTACATTTATACTGTGTCGTCTCAAAGTGGGAAATATGGGTGAGAAAGTCGATGCAACAAGATGGTATCAGATTTCTGCTTTCAGCTGTAGTTCAACTTTCCTACTTTTGACTGTTTGTAGCAGTTCTTTATTAACAGTGCAGCATTAAGTCAGTTGATCAGGTATTACATATTATTTATAAAACATGTTTCATTGCTGTACAGCTTAGAACAGAGTTTTTGACTGTTTTTGTAACAGTGGCCATATTGGAAATTGAGAATATGAGGATCCACAGCAGAAAACTAGAACGTTTTTATCTCTCAAATTTAAGTACGGTAGATAGTGGAAAACACCATCATCAAAAGTTAGCTAACAGAGTCAAAGTATTAGCTTACAGGCTGAAGATAACAGCTATTTAGGGTCAGGTTAATAAGAAGTTTACAGAGTTTGGCTAAAAAATATTAATTATTAAGGGAAAGCTAATAAAGTCAAGCTAACATCTAGTTAAGCTCAGTTACCAGATGCAAGTTCAAAGATACACAAAATCCACAGCTGGAAAATTTCTGGTTTACTAACAGAAACAAGTTATTTTTAGTCTAGATTTTAATACATTTTTCACCCCTATTAAATGCAAAACCATTCAGCTGTTTCATTCTCCCTCCATTTTTGGTCCAATTACCTGGAACAGGTGTGACCTTTTCCCGAGCCACCCACAGGAAGTCTCCAACATTGAGTTTCCTAACATCGAAGGCGACTCCGTTCCTCTGCAGCTCTTTGACCAGCTCCTGCTTACGGTGGTGGCTGCCACTGCAAACACCGGGTTCCTTCTCAAAAATCAGATTCTTTTTCACTCTCACTAGCATGCAGGAGTGGTTCTTACCCAGTGGTCTCTATGAAGTCGACACACAGGAGGATCTCATAAGCTCCTGGTAGAAGACTTTCTCTGTTTGGCTTTCTAATTGATGTCAGGGTACTCTGCGGTTTTCCTTGTAGAGACCCCTCGCCTGCATCCCTGCTCAGCTGAATGGCACAGGTTGCTCTTTGTGAAAGGCTCTCAGGCAGCTGCTCCTCTTCATCACTATCATCATCACCACTCTCAGTAAGATCAACAACCCTTTCCTCCTCTTCCTCCTCTCGTCCATCTCCTTCACTAATGTCCTCTCCTGGAATGTTTTTCACATCTCTTTCCACTGATTCCAGTCGTTCAGCCAAAGCGAGACCCTCATCCGTCAGAGAATACCTGAAACAGAATGATGCTAAACTGAGAGACCCCAGAATAATGTGCAGAATAATGTCATGAAAAGGACTCCTAAACATAACAGTTGTGTTATTGTCATACGTTCTCTGCATAGAGCTGATCGACTCTGCTCTATGCGCATGGAAATATTTGTTAGAAATGACTGAAATCTCTCTTTTTTTTATTTAAGTTTAACACATCTTATCTACAAACCTCAGTTTATTTGATCTATTTGTTGTTTTTGATAAATTAGTACAAAATTAGGAACTGCAAAGAAAATCACACATGCTTATATAATTATTTGCTAAACAAACGTTTGGCATAAATTTGCATTCAGCTCTGAAAACCCTAAAAAGATCAAGTGAAAGTACCGTATTGGCCCAAATATAAGACAGGGTTTTATTCATTAAAAAGAATGTGAAAATGTGGGGTTGTCTTATAATCAGGGGTCTAAGGAATTATACAGGCTGATCGCTACACGGACGCAACAGCAGAGGGAGCCAGTATTTTGTAAAGCCAGTGACCTCACTGTGGCTGGGCTCATCTTTCTATCACAGAGAGGAAGTTCCAAGGGTGCTACAGTATTAGCCATTCAAAATGTCCCCACTTTCCTTTTTAAACATCAATCTTTGTATCAAAATATTCTTTCTGTCATGATTTGTGGACTTTAAGATCTAAAGAGAAGCGCTATATCCTGGTCAGACCCTGTAATTCAGTGAAAGGATGGAGTCAGAGTAAAGAAAACGCACACCAAGGAGAAGGCCAGTGGCTGGACGTTGGAGGGGATTTTGCTGGGAGTCGCAGAGGAGTGGGCTGGCATTCGCCTGGGAAGGGCCATTTGGAATGGCTGCTACTGTACTGATGGAGAACTGCGCCCCAGAATGGAGGGGATCAAAACGCCAATGACGCCAATTTTAAAATAACAGTCTTCAACACAGCAGAGGCTTCAAATAACCGTTATGCAGCAAAGAAATATGCCATTATGGAGTGTCAAGAAAAGCTTATCAAAAAACTGCAGAGCTGCAGGATGGGAGTGGGAGTGACAGCAAGGTAGAGGACGTATGTAAGGAGAAGCATTATGCAGGTTTTGGAGACGTTCCGTGAGCAAAGTTCCAATTGCATTGGAATTGAAGTGTTGCGCGATTTCAATTAAATGTGTCATTACGGTTTTTTTGTTTTTACTTTTTATTGTTTAATTGCACAAATATTTCAATGCAATGTTGTTTAAAAAATATTGTTAGCACTTCAATAAAAAATTGTTTATTAAAATAGTCTCTTTTGCATCTTTTTTTTTTTGTTCCTAAAAACTGGTCCTGGAAAGAGGAGGTTGTCTAATAATCAGCGTCTTTCTTTATTCGGTTCAGTACCATAACTGCCTGAAAAAAGCTCCTCTAATGAGTGAATTCTGTCCATCATGGCATCCAACTGATATTCTTCAATGATCTAAGTTACATACAGAGGCGTGGTTTACTGGTTTAGCATGATAAGTGTCAAAGTTCAGATCTAAATCAAACTGAGAATCCGACCAAACTTTAGCTATTTTGTAAAGTGGAAAGAACAAGAATTACAGCAGCCAGATGGCAGATACTACAAGAGACTCTTATTAATAACTGCAGCTAGAGGTGGTTAACAAGCCGCACTTTTAAGATTTGTACATTAACCACTTTCCTTCCACTTCACAGCAAAGCACAACTTTTTAAAGCAACATATGCATAACAATATTTATTGTTTTAAGATGATAAAATGTTATTTTTTAAGTTAAATGAAAAGGCAAGGGTTACTTTAGATATGAACATTAATGAATAACCTGGCAGGATTGTGAGTCTTTATCAGCAGGTTTTTCTGGATCAGAGTGCTGACTGAGGACCAGGCGGTGTACTTGCTGCCAAGATCGGGCTGGTCATAAAAACCAAGAGGGTGAGAAACAGGTTTAGGGAAGGCATAGAGACAGAAGCAACAATAGCAGAAGTTCACATGAAAACACTCACCACGGTAAAAGATTTGTCACAGAGAGACTGAGCTTCTGTCTGCAGCTCCATCTTTAACATGTAGCCTTTACTACCTGGGATCTGCAGGAGGTTAAATGTGGGCAAAAAAATAAATAAAAAATGTATCCTAAACCAAGAACAAAATATTTCATTAACAAATGTAGCAACAGAAGCGTACCTGTGCCTGTCTGTAAAGAGTGAGTAGTACAGCGTATCCTCCAGACCTCTTCTGGGGTACGTATTCCCTCTTCTTCCTCTTTGTTCCTCCACCTCCTCCCTTTTCCTTCCCTTCAACACTTCCATCGTTCCTCTATGACAGATTGATTACACTACGACAGCTGTGGCTCAAACTATAGCATTCAAACAATGGTTGCAATCGTTTATAAACATATTTATAACAGTTATTTTAAATCACTAAAAAGCCTTTTAATGTTAGCGCAACAAAAGAAAGCAAAAGCAGAAAATGAGTGAGCTCTAAGCCCTGATTCATTTATCAGAGTTCTGGAGAGAGGATGGTCATACAGCACCCTCTAGTGGATGATAGGGAATGCGCACCCTATAAAATATCACTTTAACATGTAAAAATAATTAAGAAAACAAGTTCCAGCCATTTATTTAACTTTTAGTTTATATTTTGCACAACTTATTACGATGGAGTATAAGGGCCAGGTTAAAGAGTTTTTTTCTTCTATTTCAAGAATAAAGTCGTAATATTACGAGAATCAGAGCTCATTTTAGGGAAAAAAATAGCTTCTTGTAAGAGTTGTCATAAAATATAACTTGTTTCTCATAACTTTATGACTTTTCTCATAATTTTATAATTTTTTTTTAATGCAACTTTATTCTCGTAACGGTACGACTTTATTCTATTATTTTATATATTTATTATTACTGTTTTTCAAGGCTGCACTGTAAAAAATGAAATTGTCTAGAGCTGTTTTAAACTAAATTTTATTTTGTATACACTCGTGTATACAACATGACAAACTAAATCTGTCTAAATCTATTCTTGAAATAGAAAAAAAATAATAATAATCTTTAGCCTGGCCCTAACACTCCATCGTACTTATAACTAACCAAGTCTACCTATTTATTTTTTCTGTGTGTATTATTATGTATACTTTAATCCAAACTTGTAGTTCCTCATTCCTATAAAACTAAATTGTCCTATTTAAAAACAAGCTTTTCAATAAATAAATAAATATGTTTCCCAGTTTAACCCTCCTTACACTGTCCTACATATATAAAAAGACCACAAACAAGGAGACAATGGAAACATGATTTTTCTCACCTTCCTGGGAGGAGCCAGCCTGTTGTTGTTGTCTTTCTGACCAGGAGGGGGCGCACCTTTGGGTAAGCAGTGAATTGAAGCGTTGGGACCTGCAACGTCAGAAATGAAAGAAGACAATAACGCAAAAGTGTTTAAGTCAAATTTGATGAAACAATTTAAGCACAAGACCACTTTGTTTTTAATATGGATTTTTTTCATTTCCATTTTTAAATCAATATTTAATAAATGGCACAATATTCCAATTTAAACTAAAATGAATGGATGACTGTATGGATCTTTTAGAGTGAAATAAATGTATTGTTAAATCAAATTATAAAGCTACCACTTTTTGATGTTTTAATTTCTAAATCTATTTTAAACCTTATTAAACCGTGAAAATTGACTGAATTGGGAAAAAAATTGGTGGAAAATATTCTTTAATGCTTTCTTTTTTTTTTTGTTATGTAAACTCTAACATTTCAAATTTGACTGCAGTGCAACTAGGCACGGGCTGGTGTGACATTTTGATGGTATCGTGGCTTTAAAGAAAAATATTGGTGTTTTTCAGGATTGGGCATCGTTTCAGTTTGAACGTTTCCAAATCCTCGTTTCTATTCTAGTTCCTATACATTTTTGATTTCCATTCTTTTAGGAAAATCGATCATAAAAATCTACACGTTATTAATAAATTGGCTAAACAGAATGATGTTTGAATGAAATGGTCTGAACGTCTAAGTGAAATTACATTAAATTCCTTGGGTGTCTAACTTTGTTTAAATTTGACTCTAAATGTTCATAGTTATTTTCTACCAGTATATAAATATTAAAACAATGATTTATGACAATTAAATAAGAATTTTCTTTTCAAAAGTTAACTTTCACAGGAAGCTCTCTTTTTTTAAAAGAACACATTTATACATATGCAGTGCCTAACACTGAAGGTACTTCTGCAGTATGGGACAATTTTATTATTTTATTTACCTGAATGTTTGACTAGTGTGGCACTAGGCGGCGGGGGTTTGAGATGGAAGAAAAAGCAGCAGCAGGAAGGCCTCGCTACAGAGTTTATATCCTCAGCATCATTTACTGAACTTCCAAATCCATTCAACTAGTAATGAAAGTGCTGATATTTTACTTTTGTTTACAGAAGAACATGATTTCAATCTGTTGTTCAGTTTCTCTTTGTATATATAAAATATTTTTGGAGCAGGAGCATTTCAGTGCATTTGAAACCCTGA